CGGCATGGCCACGTGAAAGGGTTACTAATGTGGTGAAAGAAATGAAAAAGAAAGCACGAGGGATGCAACTAGCTTTGATACCAAACGAAAAAATTTTAAAATATTTTTGGATTAACTATTATATATTAGTTACTTCTCTTATATTCAAATTTAATTGAGACCGCCTAATATATTAGAGAAAGCCCAATTAGGTTTTAATTATAAAACCCATATTATAAATTATTAAAGGTCATTAAACACTCGATATCGATAATTAAGTTCACATAACAAGTCTTTTAATATATTCATAAAGTAAGTCTAAAAAAAGTATTGTATCTCAAAAACAATAAGGTCTAATATAATTTCAAACGAAATTGCATAATGCGTGGAAGATGTAAGAAGTTAAATCATATTCAAAAGAAAAAGATTAACAAAAATACAAGTAGATGAGTAATTGACTCAAACAAGTGAAGCATAAAAATTTTACGAGTAAATGAGTGAAAATATCGGAAAACATGGAGCATTGCAACCCAAGACAGATATATAGCATTGTAACCCAAGGCACACATGAAGCATTGCGGCCCAAGGTAGAAATTATGAGACGCTGTAATTTCAAAGGTAGAAAGTTATGAGATGTTGTAATTCAAGAACATTCAAGAACTTGGATAGAAAAAAAGGATGTATAAGGGTGCGAAGGTCATAAATACAATTGCAATATAGCAAAACAACAACAAACACATACTACAATAATACTTTTGTAATTTATCAATATTATCTCTCGAATTGTTTCAACACTTAAAACACAATAGACCATAGTTTGTAAACCGTAATAGTAAGTAGTAATAACGAAGTTGGTAATTCATCTTTGGTTCGATCTTCACTTTTGTTACAACACACATAGTTCTCGTCTTTCAATGTTTAAAGCACTAATTGATGTTTTTCATCAATCTCCATGTCTATAAGCTTTTATCCAATGTCATTGTCATTTGTAAAGAACTTGTAATTTAGTGTCTATCAATTTCATCAGTTTTTAATTCACATATTTGTTATTTTTAAATTGTTTGATTGTTGTTAATTGCATATTGTTTAGATATTAGTTTTCGGTTATTGCATTTATGTACATTCGCATTCTAATCTTGCAATCCAAACATCCTAGACAGTCTAAAACCCCTTCCAAGGGATTTTTAAGTCATTGCATTTTAGTAACGTAATAACTTTTTGTTATTTTAAAATATTGAAATATTTTTAGGAGCAATAGTAGGATAGCCTTGCTTGATAATTTTAAGTGTCTAATTCAAAATTTAGATAATAGAATGCCTTGCGAACTACATTCTAACTATCTTATAAGCTTTTTAATTCAAAGTCTTTTTAATCGAGACCGAGCATAAAAGAATAAAAAATAATATGCAATTCAAAGTCATTGTCGTTTGTAAAGAACTTTTGATTTAATGTCTATCAATTTCATCAATTTTTAATTCGCATACTTGTTATTTTTAAATGTTTGATTATTGTTAATTGCATATTGTTTAGATATTAATTTTTAGTTATTGCATTTATGTACATTCGTTTTCTAATCTTGTAACCCAAACATTCTAGGCAATCTAAAACCCCTTCCAAGGGATTTTCAAGTTATTGTATTTTAGTATAAGTAGTAACTTTTTGTTATTTTAAAATATTGAAATATTTTTAGGAGCAACGATAGGATAACCCTATAATTTTAATTATCTAATTCAAAATTTAGATAATAGAATGTTTTGCGAGATTACATTCTAATTATCTTATAAGTTTTTTTATTCAAATTCTTTTTAAACGAGGCCACACAAAAGAATAAAAAATAACTCTATAGGTTTACTTTTGAAAACAAAGATAGACAAACGATAGTAATAATAATCCACATTCGAAATTATCGGAACTAATAATAATACTTCAATTTAAGCTCAAATTTTATTTATTTTTTATTGTTCTCTATTTTTTATCTATTTCTCTCTCTCTCATGGAAACACATATGACACACACATATATATCATTAAAATGAGATTCATCACTAAATCTTACATTAAAATCAAGATTCAATGGTTTATATTTTTCTTATTATTTATCATTCTCATGAATATTTTAATGATTCGTACTATTTTTTGGCTCTGCTATTTGGAGACTATTTATGATTTGAAGTGGACTGCCACGAGCATGTTGTGAGGGATAAATCATAATGTATGCATATACATGGCGCTATATTTATTGCACGCTACAACTGATATGCTGTCAGAAAGTTTGGCTGCCAAAAAGACGTGTGACCGCGTTGATTTTTTCTTTTTCTTAATTATATTTAACATGTAGAATTATAGATATTTTATTCCTACCTCACTCTATATATTTTTTCATTTATCTAAACTTTCAGGGGTTTTTTTTTCAGTCTAAAATTATTAATTTTTAGGAAAAAATTCATATTCCATGAACGATATTTTTTTCCCTAATACTAATGATATTTTTGGATTAGTTTATTAAGTTTTTCTAAAATATATTGTTTGCATGTTTATTCAAAAATATTTAACAAATGTTTTTAGATATTAGCTTCAAGATTTGAATATAAAAATCAAAGAACGGAGCAAATTTAATTGCTGTGAGTTTTCAACTCACATGTAAGCAGGACATTGTAGTGATTGGATTAACCAGACCAAGATGAAGTGATTGAGACTTTTCCATAGCTATATGAAGCCTATTGTTTGTTGGTATGCTCCTTGGCTCCTTGGGTCGAAGGGCATCCCAGTCACCATGAATGAATGGATAGCAAGGGAGGTAATCAAGGGCAACCTATTGAAGCTAGAGATATATCATTTCTAAACCTAGCTAATATGCCAACCCATTTACCGTGAATTGGGTTTCATGTCGACTCTTCTTTGTTCTTTTTCCTCTTACATATATCAAGCAACGTCCTCCCTGTTGGCTAGTTGGATTAGATTTATATCCAAGAAATTCAAGGTAGAATTTAACATTCAAACAATATTTCAAATACCATAATCTTCTTTTCTTCTCCTTCCTTTTTTTTTTTTTTTTCCAGTTTGGTGTCAAGTTAACAATATAGTTGTTCAATTCAAAATTAAATACAGCTTTTATCTTGTAGAGTTTAATCCTAACATATATGAAACAATTTTCTGTACAGAGATCTCTTAAAGTGTAAAGGCACGTGTTTTGAAGTGTTAAGTGATTTACATAGAACTCTTGGTTTTGAAATGAGCAAATTATCTGTGAGATATTTAGAATCTCTAGGGGTTTTTTGTATGAAGGAATAGGAGATTCCTTTTACTAAGACATATATCTTAGATGCTAAATAAAAAATATCATGTTTGGTTTGTTAGGAAATGTAAAATTCAATATTTCCTACGCATCCCATTGCTGACAAACCAAGGAATGTGACGTGCTTCTAAAATAGTAAAAATCACATTTTTTTCGTTGGCAAATATTAGAATTTTATTTTTAACTAAAATACTCCTACTATTAATATTAAAATGGACTAAAATATCCTTATTATTTTTATTATTAATTATTATCATTATAACAACAATAAAAGTGGTTTAGTTTTAGTTTGAGAAAGTACAAGTTATGTAATTTATTAGTGAATAAATCACTTTACTTAGCAATTATAATTCATATAACATGCATGTTGTTTTGGACATAATTATTTTTTTTAAAAAAAACCTTTTAGTGTCAAATTACCTACTTAAACTTTGGAAATAGAATAGTAAATTTATTTAACCATCTCACCTAAAAGCTTAAACTGTGTTATTTAATAAAACTCTAAGATATTATTTATATTATTTTATAATCTAATACACTTATAGGATTTGAACTCTTGACAACTAGGTTAGGAAGGTTTTGATAATAAGTTAAAGGATCATCTTACCTAAAATTTAAACTCGTTAAGTGAAGTCTAATGATATGATTTATATTATTTTTTAGCATAAACTAAATAAAATAAAAATTTATCACTGAAAATTTTTAATTTCAACCAAATACAATAAATCATATTTTGCACAATTATATTCCAAACACTTAATTTTAAGAGAACACCTAAAAAGAATCTACGTAGGAAACGCCTCCTAATTTCAGGTAGTGTTGGTGATTGCAAAATGCTGATCGATGAGCTCAGAATGAAGTTGGACCATTGGGTCACCAAATACCAGCCCGATTGACCACAACGAGCTCGGAAAAAATTGACTGGCGTGATCTAAGCCCTGCCGGGCTGGTCTATGAATACCCCAATGCATGACATAATATTTCAGTTCTTCTTGTTCATCCCTAAACGGCTAAACGTAATTAACTGGAGGGCTATGAGTCTATGATTGAAACGTCCTTATGTGTGGCTTATAAAGCCCACTCAACATCTGCTAATACTGGTGGGTTCAAATTAAATAAATTTTAGCCCAAAATGAAGCGTCGAGATCACATCTACCCATTATTATAATGTGGTCTTAAGCCCTATATGCAACCCAAAGCCTTTTTTTTTTTTTTTGGTGCTAAAAATACTAAAAAACGGAAATGAGGGGTTCCAATATCCCAGTTTGGCAATTTGGGAAAATTGAAGGAAATATCCCATTTTTCACGGTGATCTTATTCGTAAATGGAGATGATGGCGAATGAGGAAGATAACCTAATTTTTCCTTTCACTCATCAGTTGGTTTCAAGCTCCAGCAAGTTGGATTTTGCAGCTCATCTGCTAAAAACTGTGGCATTCCCACCCACCCACTCGACCCATTTAAACAGTCAAATATCAGATAAGGTTTCTAAGATATTTTCGTTGAAACAGCTGGCTGTAAAAGATTTAACTTGTTGGTCCCACTTTTCATTTCCGTACAAAGTCAGGAAAATAAGTAGCAAAGCAAAAATATCTTCCCATCATCCATCCGGATTCCGGTGGCAATAACCTAACTTTATAAAATCCAATTAGAAAGTGTTAAAAGTCAGAAAAGAAGTAAACTAAGACCTGAGATTGCTTTTGAAAGGAAAAAAAGGAAAGGAGAGAAATGGATGGTTACAAGAGGCCAAGCAGGAGCGACACTCACTTGTCGGCAGAGGAAGAGGCAAAATTAGAGGAGCAAACAAGAGGATATTTCGAGGGAATAGCTCCTAAGCGCCACTCTAAGCCTCAACGCAGCGAGTATTCACCTCAATACGTTGATACAGTCTCCACTAATGATGACCAAAATTTTATCCCAGAACAGGTTGAGTTTCAACGTCTCGTAAATGATCCTCGGGTGGGTTTCTTGAGCTCTCACTTACCATGCTAGTCTACGGTCTTTCTTGATTATTCTTATGCGTCTAAGAAATTTTTGACTCTGGATTTGTAGATTGATATTTTGTTTTTGTTTTTCTTTTTCTTTTTGTAATTTTGATTGTAGAAAATAATTTACAATGGAAGCGGTAAAGCGACTGAGGAGTTTGTGGAGACGGAGTATTACCAGGATCTCGCCTGTGTTGACAAGCAACACCATACGGTATTACTATTGCTATGCCTAGCTACATATTCTAGTTCACTTCTTTACTTTTTTCTTACATCTAAATAAAATTTAGTTGTCCAATTTTTTACTTTCTATGCCTCTCATTTTACCTTCTTTTAATTTGATGATTTACGATTAGCTAGATGAAACTTTCTTAATTTTGGGCAAAGATGCGCTAGAATAAGGACTTGCATATAACAAAAGTAGGACTTGCAAATGCTGAACACATTTACATCAGTATTTAAAACTTAGGGATATTATTATGGGAATTCTGTTTATTTTTCAGACAGGAACAGGGTTCATCAAAATGGAGAACGCAAATGGCAAGAGCTTCAGCCTAGAACCAAATTCTACAACCTGCTGCCATGCCTCTTCCAAAGGAAATCCAGCAACTAATGATTGGATTCCAGCTGCTGCTGATATGGTACACATGCATGCTTGCTTCATTGCTCACAATTTACAATAACCCTTCTTTTTTTTTCCCTCTTTTTCTGCAAGAGTTTTTAGGTTGGACAAACTCAACTGTCTGACTACAGGTTCAGGTGACTTCCGCTTCGGACAAGCCCAATAGGAGCGACAATTGAAGAGAAGGTGTCACTGGAGATGTTATCCTCAAATAAAGAGCTGGATGATGCATGTTTCTTTGCTTATTGTCAATCTGTACCTAGTGTTTACCGTTGCAAATAAAGTCCAAGACCGTAATTATTGCTCGAGTAAAAGGAGACCTTAAATTTGTTCAGGAAAAGAAAAATTGCAGCTTATGTGCTTTTGATATTAGAACGGTGATTCTAGCTTCTGAAGAATATATTTTGTTTTTGTCAGTTTTAACTTGAAGAGGAGCTCTACTCGGATCTGTAAATTAACCAGCAGTTCTTACAAGGCAGTAACACAAAAGCAAATAGAAATAATATCAGATGCACAATCTGTTGACAAACCAATACAGAAAGTAATAGCAACAAGAAATCTTGCGAGCTACTCACCATTCAGTGGACATTGGGCATTGAAAGAATTAAAGAAACGGAAAACAAGTTCTTCATATATTGGTTTTGCACAGATCACTAGTCCAGCAAGGCAAGAATCCCAACTTCGCAGAACTTGAAAATACCAAACTTCCAGTAAGCTGCTTTTTCTAGGAAACAATCACTTGAACGCGACCTAAATGAAAGCCTAACTGGTTGCAACATGCTAGATGTACTGATGGCCATATCTATACAATTTACTTCTCCTATAAGCACGCTAGGTAACTATAATAATAAAGTTAGATAATATGGCTCTTTGAACGAGCAAGATAAGCATGCAGTGGAACATTGCACAAGAATGCAGATGAGAGACACATCCTGACTTGCCTAATGGTAAAAAATCACAGGATGAAGTTAGTTTTCTGAAGTAAAATTGACGTTAATGAAGAAGTCTGCCATGATCTACAGCATCTACATTGTTCATCAGATGAATTAACTAGGGTATAGAGTATAAACCACCAACTACTAGTCTACAAAAACAAACGTTAAAAGTTTAATTTACAACAAAGCAATTACAAACCTCCCATGCTCAAAGTAAGGGATGAATTTCTCGAGCATTGACACAATCACACTCCTGTGACATACAAACTAGCTGCAAAAACTATGTCACGCTTTATGGCATTCGAAGCAGATTCCATTTTCTTGTAGAGTGCAGAATTGCCCATGATAGCAGCAGCATTTTTAAATTCACGACATGTCTCATCCAACCTGACAATTGTGCGCACTATCAGGCCTTCAGGAACATCCGTAAGTTCACATATATCAGCAAATGGAGTACCCTGCAAACAGAGAAACTAATAAGATCACAAACCATCCAAAAACTAATGAAAGGTCAGATTGATGTGTTTTGGTAAAAAAACCTTTGCCCACTCATACACAACTTCAACTAGACCGAACTTAAGATTCTCATTGGCAAACTCCTCGGGGTTTATTTGCAGTTTGAAATGTGATTGAAGCTCTCCGAGTCTTATTGCTGTGCTGTATAATCTGAAGTGAACAAACATCTAAGATTAGATTGAAAAATGAAAAAAGAAAAGAACAGAAATGGGAACAATGTCAATGTTAAATTCCAGAGTTATGATCCAGGATCTAATAGGCACATAATCTTACACAGGCAGCATTTTGAGATGTGAATGCAGAAGCTGTAATTCATTTTCATTAACTGCAATCAATTCTTCCATATCATATGAAAACTGAAAGCTCAAGATAATAATTTGAAGGGAAATGGTAGAGTGACCCCGACTCCTGACTCAAAACTCTACCCAATGACATGGCTAATGAAAAAAAGCACATGTTAAAGTTATATTCAACCATTTAGTTGTTTTAGAATTGTTTTATTTAAAATAATTTTTTTTATCTGACTAGTTAATCTGTTATCTTAATTAAAGTTAAACATACAGTTAACCACCTATTCAAAGTTTAAAATATTTGCAATGTTCCTCTCTTTATCTGCCGTCACCAATAACAGACAGCCTCATCTTAAACTGCACCACACAAATTTATGAGAGAGAAAAATAATCAATCAGAAATAATGAAGTGCTTTCTTTCAATAATTATAGGTGTATGCACCGAGAGAAATGCTGTCATGGTGACAAGAGTGGGCAAGGGGAGGGCAGGAGGCGCCCTGGCTTGCTGTGGTTTGAATGAAGAAGCCAATTAATTACTGGAGTAATTCAAGTATGGATAGGAGGAATATGAAGGGATTTTGTTGCTCTCGTTTTGTACAGTAGGAGCTGGGAAGTTCTTGATTGATTTTGAGAGCAAAATGGACAAGCAGGAGCGATAAAAAGGGGAACGATTAAGGTTTTGGGAGATAAAAGTGCTGATACTGCTCATTTCATTTCAGTCTCTCTTGAACTGGTTACCACATCAGTACTTATGCTTATACATTTTAAACTGAAGCAAATCCAATCTACTACATCATCATTCTGAAAAAGAAACAAAACCTAGGGAATTGGCCTTAAAATAGGTTATACTTTACTACCTCCTTAAAACAATGCTCACGGAATCTTCCTTCTCCGTTGCTGGAATCAGGGCTATCTCGCCAGATTCCGGCAATCCATGACTGAGAGTTAACTGTCTTAAATGATCATGGAAAAAACTAATTTATTTAAATAAAAAAATTTTAAAACAACGAAATAGCAGGACCTAACTTTCACCTATGGCCTTTTCTCATTCGCCATGTCAGCTTAAATCAAGAGTTTGGGTCACTCAATGATGGTCTGGTCCTAATTTGAATTCCCAATAAGATCCTGACAATGTGTGGTTCAACGTTCATGTGACATTACTGCAAAGCATCAAGCATGGTGCCCAAGAACCATGACTCAAGTTTTGGAGCTCAGAATAACACAGCCATCTTCGATGAGAACCGCAATTTTACACTTAAAAAGTCTAAAGAAAAATCTATCATGCAATAAGAAATCTACCCATAAGATCTTGCAGATGTAATGTAAAGAATTGACAAAAGGATGGAGATCACCTTTGTTTAGCTTCAGACAGCCTGGGAGTAAGAGAAGGCTCAGAAGTTTTCCTCTGCTGAAACACAAAAGCAGACATTATTGCCACTGCTTCTTCAGGTTCCAGATCATCAAACTGATTCTCAAATAAACACTCAGTGCATATCAACTCCTCCCCTGAATTCATCTCACATGCAACACGACCTTTAATTTGAACTACAAGGTCACCATCTATACAGCCAATTTCCTTCAGAACATCTATCTGCAAATGAACAGCTTAAATATTGAAGGAGGGTGGAGTAAAACCAACATGGCAGATAATTAATACAAAACATCTAACTGCTACATAGCACATCAAGGGAGGAAGAGAGAAAGATACATATCACAAAGCATACCCTGCCCTGAAAGTCTGGCATCTGTTGGAGCGCTTCATCTGACATTAGGAATTGCAGGTTCCTAACTTCCTCTTTGTGCCTCTTTATCTCTTTTGCCAAGCTAATGTGCTCCTCCAATTTTATACACCCGTGACACTTATTTGATGCCATCTTTTGTAACAGGCTAGTCCAGTGGTGATAGGCTTCCACAAGATTCACATCATTGAACTTCAGATCTAAACAGTATCAGCAACGGAAAAGTAACATTTAACAAAGCTGTGAAGTAATACTAGCTTATCATCATAAAGAACATTTAAAAGGATGAGAAAGTGCAAAAGGTAAATTTCCCACATATTATGTAGAATCAGCAATATGTTAGAGCGAGATCAAAAATGAATATAACTGCATATCAACATATATAACAAGGGTTTGCACCATCAACACAAGAATTAAAATCAACCAGCATGATTCATATATTATGATGGCACAATCAAGGCCCACAGTCATTTAAGGACAAAAAGATAAACCACAAGCTATGAATCTCTCTTAGAATATACAGTTAGATCTATAGGCAATAGATCAACCCCCCACAGGCACCACCACACCCACAAAAACCTTTCTTTCCCAAACACATTTCAAAATTGATATGAAGGAACTTAGGGTTTGCAGACTATGAGAAGAAGGATCACAAAAGAAAGCTAGTGGCACACCATTCTTCCTGAAGAGAGAGCTTCATCATAGGAGATGATCATAAAGAATCTAGGGTTCTCACAGAAGGTTAAGCCAAATTTTTGAAATACACTTAATGCAATTGCAAACCACATTTTCCAGTACCCAAGAAGGGGCTTGGCTCATTGTAATGTCAACTTATACGGATTTTTGTCAAATTATTACAAATTCTAAGGCAGTGGAACTCACAAGAATGCTATTGTTTATTCTTTCACTTTTTTCTTTCCTAATCATTGGTGATAGTTTGCAACATTCTTGTAATTCATGTGTAAAAAGCCCATAAGCTGTTACAAGTTATGCAGTGCATCTTCACCTGAAAGATTAAATATTATCTTCACAAAAAAATGCCTCACCTTTCAGTGGATCTAGTGCTGGAGGATATTTATTTCCATCACTTTTTGTTTCCAATAGCTGCTGAACTGTCTTGGAGAAAGCAGCATTGCTAACATCCTCGAGAAGCCCGACTTGGTCAATTATTATTTTACGATCGCATATGCATAAGAATTCTTTACTATCAATTTCTCTAACTTCATAATTGATCCCAGCAGCAGCACCTTGGTATGGTAGTTTAATATTGATGGCACCTGATCCTTTGCGATTAGTGAGAGAATAGTACTCTTCATCCACGCTACGCTTCGATTTTGGTATCAGCATATGACCTTGTGGGAAACCAGCACTTTCTTTATCTTGCAAGTTACTGCTACTCGATGGAGTTTGTGTTGATGGTGATAAATTAGGTTTCAGCACCAAAACTATGTATTGCTTCATACTGCCCGAAGGTGCTTTCACTACAACTCCAAGTAAGTGATCCTGCGCCTGCAAGTGATGATAAGAATGCTATAAATATAGCAACTGCAGCTACTCTATTAGTAATCCCTCTCAAGTTTAAAATTTCATCCATTATGGAGTTCCATAAGGTTAGGCCACTAAAAAGTACGACTCCCAGGAGACAAACTTCATATTTGACAGTACCAATAATCAACCCTATTGAAACACTTACACATGTGACACACCCCAGCATTTCATTTTAACAGTTTAAACTTAATTTTCTCTGCCATGTAATATAAAATCAAAAGAGAACAGGTAACTGCAGTTGAAAATTGAAGTCATTCTGATTCGTCTTAAACAAATTTACCCATAAAAAAAGAACACTGACACTTAAAAAGACAAGAACTGCTATTTCTCCCAAAGATTTTGTGGGGGGGGTGGGGGACAGGACAGAACAGAAATAAGAAAGCACTAGAGCACCGAGTACAAACAAAAATAATAATTAGAACTTACTGATAGTGATTTCACAATGATGACTCTTCCAGGTGTAAGAAATGCACGGACACGAGGGGACTGCATGACAACCTCTGATATATGGTTGCCATATTTTTCAGCTTCCAGGTAAAGGTCATAGTATTCTTCAATCGTTGGCTCACCCTTTAGACATCTACATTAAAATAGCCACGCATGATGAACTATAGGGAAAATGATGTGACCATAAGAAAAATCATACTAAAAGCAACGAAACTTTCACTTGCTCACATTTTTTAGATTATTGAAAGACATTAGAACACAAACAACCATGAGGCTCTTGTCGCAACAACAATGATAACCAGTGACGTTGAAATGCTACCTAAATACCTATGCTGATCTAATCAGAGCAGCACGCCATTACGAAATAAAATCACAATTGCTCATCTGGAACATGTACCTACATGCTAAACGAATAACATTAATTATGAGTTTTACCAAGTTTTGCATTTTCTCTACATGGCCTTCCATACACTGGTATTTAAGGATTCCGAAAAAGGCTGATAACATCATTTTGTAAGTCTTCTTTTGTAGCTTAGTGGAATGCGTATTTGAATACCAATATCACCAAGCAATGAAAGCAAGTGTTAGAGAGTAATATAGAAGCATATCCAGGGGCCTGATCTAAGAGCTTAATCAGTTATTCACGTCTTAATGTAAAGCCAAAATGCCATACAAGAACCACTCATTCGTAACATTTGGTACGCAATCACATAATCCATCAAAACAATGGTTCCCAACACAAATCTATCACAAAATCCAGAAGAAACAAGGTGTCAATAAAATGAAATCAAAAGGATTGTGTGCAAATGTATTACAGAAAATGCACATCCACAAGCAAATAGCATAAGATCAATAACTGATACAAGGACATTTCTATTCTAAAAATTTAGAAACAATCAGGTCAGATAGAAAAGTTGGCCATTGAGATTCTGCATTGATTTACTTACTCAACAGCTTTGGAAGGCTGAGCAAGCTTTCGCATCAGAACTTTTTGCTGTTCAGGAAGTTGTTTCTGAGAATGGAACTCTGCAAAACTTCTTTTTAACATGTCTTCCACCTGCAGTTATGTCCCCCAATCAACATTGAAAAAATGAGGTCACTATATGGATGATACACCAACATACTAAAACAAAAGAAATTCTTTCAAATTTGAACTTGTAAGACTATGATATACTAGCTTAATGTGAAGAAATATGAAGATTCATCCTATTACACAGAAGCAACTGACTAAAAATATCAGCAGTTTGCTTGGATTGACCCTGGACAACATTGTTCTGGCATTTATTTGTGTAAACCTAAAGGGGAAATTGACTGCACAGTGTCTGAATAACTAAACTTTTTCTTCGATTGAATGGGCAAAGGATTCAAGAACACTGAATATATTAAATTACAACATTGTTTCTCCTATATGTTTCGTCGAACCCATAACTGGGTGAGTAGTACTTGCTTAGACATCCCAAATCACGTAAGGAAAACCACAAATGCCTTTCACAGTGACACACTAATATAGAAGAGATAAACACATACAAAAGACGTGTGCAGACAGCATGTGCAAGATGAACTGTGTGATGAGCTATGATTATTTGTTTCAAGCATGGTTTCCAGACATGCATAAAGTGTGCGTGAATGGTTGCATGCAAGTATGTGACTCTACTTGTGTGCACAAAGGTGCAACTTTTCGTTTAGAATTATTAAAGGACCATCTCACTTAAAAGCTTAAGCTGATAGGTGAAGCCCTAGAATATAATTTATTTGTTTCAAGCATGGTTTCTAGACATGCATAAAGTGTGCGTGAATGGTTGCATGCAAGTATGTGACTCTACTTGTGTGCACAAAGGTGTAACTTTTCGTTTAGAATTATTAAAGGATCATCTCACCTAAAAGCTTAAGCTAATAGGTGAGGCCCCGGAATATAATTTATACTAGTCTCTAACACACCCTCTCAAGTGAAAGCCCCAACATTTGGACTTGAAACTTGCATAGGTCCTCATTGCCTTGTGCTTAATACTTGAGAAATTAGGAATGGTGAGACTTGAACTCAAGACTTCTTGGTCAACCAAGCTTTGATACCATATTAAAGGACCATCTCATCTAAAAGCTTAAGCTGATAGGTGAGGCCCCAAAATATAATTTATACTAGTCTCTAACAAGAATATTAGAGCAAGATGACTTAAATGAGAAGATTTGACATCCATGCAAAATAAAAAGGGCAAAGCATAACATCTGACAACTCCAATAGCAAGGAAACTGAATTTGGATAGTATTAATTTGTTGCACAACCATAAATATAATGGAAAATCTAACCCAACAGATACCTTCAATTCTTCAACACGGAGGAGATGCAAGATCATAATATAAGTCAATCGAAATTGGGATTCAAGCCTGGTAGCACTTCCAACTATAACATGTTTCAAATCGCTCTCATCTGGAATTTCATCGCGGCACAAGACAACAACTGTTCCAATTTTGTCAAGTCCTCTTCTGCCAGCACGACCAGCCATTTGAGTGTATTCCCCCGGCAGTAATTGTCTAAATTCCTTTCCATCAAACTTTCTTAACGTATCAAATACAACCTGAGAAAGATCTTGAATTAAGTCAGAATCAGAAAAATATGATATTCACGAGTTGCCAAAGTCTATCTAGAACTAGCTGAGGTCATGTAAACAAGGCTCATGGCAATTAGCTAATTGAAGGTGTTTTAAATGTTTTATCTAGTGGTTACTAGTTACTAAGATGAAATTTAATGCATTATCCACATTTTCCATTAATACCATCACTCTGACAAAGAGCAAAAGGACTAGCAAACTTAATGCTACAATGTGATCAAAACACATCATAATAACAATTACAACTCTTTATTCTTTTGCAGTGAAACTTTATTATCAGCAACTTAAAATTAACAGCAAAGGATAACATCCCATTCTAAACGGGTCAGAAATGTGACAGGTGTAACCTAATGCCAGCTACTTACAAGTACCACAGATATGACCTAATGGCTACTGCCAGCTGCTTACAAGCATAGCAAATATGACCTAATTCACACGGTTTTAATTTTAAATCTGGTTACTTCTTCCTCAACGCATTGTTATTGCTTGGTTTCTATCCTAGTCCATACGAGAACATTTGTTAGTCTAATTTGAAGTCTTGTTCTAATCTATATAAAAGTTCTAATTTCGACAGGTAGAGTTGCAATGTCTTATTACCCTAGAAGCTTGAGTTATAGAATAAAATTGAGAGAGTTGACATTTTGTTTTAGGCCTGGAGCATAGGATTTCGTTTTTCCTAGTTTTCTTCTAGTTTCTCTTCTTCCTCACTTTTTGTGTTGCTATAGTATCTTAGATTACAGTAAACAGAATCAAAGCCACAATTCAAAACTCAAATCCTTACATCCTCAAATTAACTCTTCATTTCAAACCCCAATCCTCTCTGAAACAAACTCCTAATTGATCCCAATTTTCATATATATCTAATTCAAGCCCTAATCTCAACCAACACACCAAAAACTCAATATTCTCAAAGCGTTCCCGCATCAAGAGTTCTTTATCCATGCAGGATGCATTTTTCAAACATTTTAACCGTAATAAACAACACTAACCGTTCTAGCTGGGGCATTAACGCCCATCGCAAATGTCTCTGTCGAAAACAATACCTACAACAAGAACATAGATTAGCATAACAAATACAGCACCTAAACATTACTGAAACCACACAGTTTGGCAGCATTAATGAAATTTTTAGCTCTACCGCAGTTTGCGAAAACATTATAAAGGAAGTTCAACGAGGACCATGTGCTTGTTATAATGATAAAAGGCTTGGTCTTGCAACAGTTACAGCTTCAAGTCCTAGGAGCAGCCACTTCGTGCACAATGCTGAAGGATCAGACTATTTCCAAATTCTCCCCCTAAAACCCAATTCAGAGGAATCGCAACTGGATAATACTTTCCTTTTTATGAAAGGATATCAATTGTAGAACTTCTTTAACCTCATAACAGCATCACTAATAACAGCAGTGCACCCCAAAGAACCATTCATAAATTAAAACACTGAGGCAATCCAATAATTAGAAAAAATTACCTTAATCACACCACGACAGAAAAGCATTTCAACGACTTCCTTAACAATGGGAAGAAGCCCTGCATGATGCACACCAAACCCTCTGCTAAGAAGGCTCCGAACTCTGGCAATCTGTGAATAAAATTAGGTATAAACCCAAATAGAATCATATGAATAGAAGATAAATGTTTATGCCATCAAACCTGTGGTAAATTGCGGTCAGATCCCTTTAGTCGTGAAAATGCTTTGTCACAGAAAACACGGATTTCGCTTTTCTCGGAACTGCTAGTGAGATCAGTCCCAGACAAACTATCAGCTGATTTATCACATCGATTCTTGGAGAAACAAAATATAACTACCTGAACACACAAGGGAAAAAAACTGTTCAGAATGTAAGGCTGGCAAAATCATTTGCCAGATTTTGAGTTGCAGAAAATGCGAGAGGACAGAAATATAAGAGTCAGTTGTTCCAATAAGATTCAGTCAGAAAATTAACCTCAGGCTGTTTAGAAGATCTAAATGTCAACACAAACTTAAAATCCATCACTCTATTTATCAAAGGAAGATGAAAAAAGAACTTCAGTGTATTTACATTTGCTTCTCCAATAAGCTAATAGAAGAATAGTGATCTTTTGCATCAAATCTTTCAACAATAGAATGTTGCAAAGGACCATAACCATCCATGTCTAGCAAAAATTGCAGAGGACAATGACCATCTTTCAAGACTCAAATAGGGAAAAAAAGAATCCATGTTTAATTTTGGAATCATGAATCATTTGCCTATCAGTAAATGCCAAAACTCTGAAAAGTTATTTTTCCAAAAAAAAAAAAAATTAATAAAAACCTTAAAAAGTGTCCTACTTATAAATTAAGACAGCAAATTCTGGAAAGAAGTTCCATTGTCAATTTCATAACAAAGCCCTACTTGGTGAGACAAACTAAAGAGGACATTAACTGACATACAGGCAATAGAGAATTCTTCGAAAGCTTTTTAACAAGCTGCAACCACAAAGAGGCCTCTGATCTCCATGAGCCCCAGTTATTCTGACCACTTCTGTTGTTTTGATTTCCCCAACCAGTGCCAGAAAAAGTCCCCGAATTATGGGAACCATGCTTGTTTTGTTTGTTACGACTAGGGTTTTCACGTTTCTGACCCTGACCCCCATCTCGTGTTACTGAAGGCCCGGTGTATGTTCCAGTACTGCGACCCACTGCAGTAGCATTCTTTTTCTTGAATGCAACTTTAGCAGTTTGCAATCCTTGAGGCAAAAAAATTGCACCTTCGCATATCCTGTATAGTTCTCCAGAATAAAATAGGCAGTGCTCTAAAGGGACAGGTCTTTTTGTAGTTCTGATGACAGACCAAACAACATGGAAACTAATGTCAATAGCCAACAAAGAAACATTGTATATTCTCTTTCAGTTGTACTATTGTACTAGAAAATATTTGAAAGTTAGAAAGAATGGGTTAAAATTAACAAACTGATGAACTTTCAAACTCTTAAAAAGAACAAAAAAAGGTTCAATTATTGATGACAATAAGATTTAATATTTACCCTGTAACACGGATTGTCTTCTGCTTTGTTCGACTGATCCAGTCAGCAAATTCAACTGTGTTTGGTACCTGCAATGTAACAATGAACATTTAAATGAATGCTTCGTTCAAAAGAGAAGGGGGACTGGGCCAAAATTTACTATGTAGCCCTGTCTTCATGCAAGTTAAGGTCTCGCAAAAAAAAAAAAAAAAAAAATTCCACGTAATAAATGTAAAAAACTGACAACTCATCCAGTCAATACAAGGCAACTTAAACTGCCATCTTCTACCATATAGATTACAGAAAAGATGGTCCCAAAAGATTTTTAAAAATTTTAAACATAATTCTAAATCAGCTGACTCTTCCCACTGCTTCTCGTTTTGGAAGGCAAGGCAATGGAGGCTCCTTTCGATTTATAAGCCTTCAATTTCCTCTGTATTTTTTTACCTCTGGTTTGATGATCTAAGTTAGCAAAGTTGCAATCCACAAGTTATGCATCTACAATGCCTTTCAGAAATTGATAAGCAATCAAAGTACGGATAGACCTGAAAATAGATTGTTAAATTCTACATGATTATTAACTGTTCATAAATTTCAGAGCTCACCTAACATCACTGTGCAACAAAAAGAAAAGGATAAAATGCTTCCTAAATTCAAAAGACTGAATTTTGTATGCCATGATAAATAAGCTTACAGGACGTTATAGTGCCAGAGAAGCAACACATGAGATGCATTGCATGCTGGGTATTGCTCTGGAAGTAAAAAATATGCAGCTCTAGCTAATAGTGATACCCTAAGCTTACAATACCCACGACATATGTATACCATTACTAATAGTGACTAATCTCAATCGTAATGTTCGGTGAGTATTTTACAGAGGAAAGAGCACATACTGTGGCAGAAAGGAGGACAATATTTACGTGCCTCGGAAGCATGATTATAACTTCTTCCCACACAACACCTCTTTCAACATCATTGACATAGTGGACTTCATCAAATATAACCTATCTCACAGACACAGCAATAAAGAAACCAAATTCAATTGTTGATAATAAAAGTGGCAATGGCAAGTAAATCAACAATAGAACTCAATAAACAAATGCATGAGGGAGATTGTGTTGAAAAAGCATGGCAGAAAACAAGCCCCTTTACCCATTCTATATCTCGTATAATATCAGCACCTCGGTAAAGCATTGACCTCAATATTTCAGTGGTCATGATAAGACAAGAAGCCTCTGGTCTCACACTAACGTCACCGGTGAGAAGACCAACATCAAATCTTCCATTGAAGTCTCGATACTTTTGGTTGCTGATTGTTTTAATGGGAGCAGTATAGACAGCTCTGGTACAGTGCTGCATGACACGAAAGCTTGTGAAAATCAAAGCACAAATACACTGCTTTAAAATACTTGATAAACAGATTGTACAACACTAGAAGTGTTCTACAAGATCCAGAGTTCAACAAAGAAGGAAAATCAATCTAACTCCTAATCAATATACCAGATTCAGAAAATCATACTTTTGATGCCAAAGCAAATGCATATTCTGCAACAACCGTCTTCCCAGCTGATGTATGAGCTGCCACAAAAACAGAGTCTCCCTTTTCCAGATAGTATATAGCCTGTATGATCAATTTAAAAAAAGGCAAAAAAGAGAAATGGTAGCTCAGGCAAGCAGCAATGCAAACTTTTACAACTTGGCTTCAGGACAGAATATTGGTTGTTTGTTGTCACAAAAGATTCACCACGGATAAAACTATGAGCAACAAGCAATATCCTATATGCATTACAACACAAGTTTTAAGGAGAATTCCAAGCACAGCAGATGCATTATAACAACATGAAAGTGTAGTGAAATGCAAAGACAAAAATTTCTAATTAAACCCTCTGGACATATGGTCCAAAGCTAACTGATTATCTTATGAAGTTACAATTTAAACCAAATAACACCATGAGCTCTTATGCTTTCAAGCATACAAAAAATGAAAATGATGCAAAGAAGAAGAGAACAAATCAGAGAGCTTGTAGATGATTTGAATGGAAGTACGATATTTAGCACTTGCAAAGCAGTTAACAAGCCTCAAGAATATGCACCAGAAAAGGTCTGCAGGGATAAGATGAAGAATAAAAGTTATAAAAAGGAGACAAAAATAAAACAGTCCACGTCTTGGAATATAAATCCTGGATCACTTCTCATAATTAAAAATATTCAACATGCACAATTATTAAAGAAATAGATCAAACAGATGAGTTTTTTTTCACATGATATAGATCAACATGTCACTTTTTTCTATTGCAAATAGGCTACATGCCACCTTCACTCATGGGAATACATCCACAGCCCACCTTTAAATATAAAAATGAACAACACCTAGAGCCTCAACCCAAACTTGAGTTAAATCAGGAATTACAGAACCACGAATTCAAAGATGCACCCTTAGGATTTATAATGGAGGTGGTTTATATCATCAAGGCAAATGAAGAAGAGAGTAAAAATCAATCACCGAATCATCTCCTAATAATACATAAATAATAGGAATGACCTCTGTAAAAATAATAATCATTCCCAGTTTAACCAAATGCTTTGCACCTTTGCATAATAAAACTGAAGGAAAAGGATTTGCATTGACCATTACCTCCTTTTGAAATGCGTCCAGATCAAAAGGAAAACTAAGTGCCATGTCAGGAACTAGTTGATAGAAGTGTTCTGCAATCCCTTGACTACTGCCAGTGAGAGCTGAGGCCTGCTATTAAATAGAGACTTCAGACCAAAAAGGTTACAAGAATCGTGGAGAAAGAGGAGATAGCAAGTCAGAGACAAAATATTGTTCAAATGTGAGAAAATTGTTACAAGCTTACTGCTATCCACAAACCTTGTTCTGCTGGTGTCCACCACTGTCACTAGTTCCACCTGATGTTGGCATCAATGCACCTGATTCAACAGACAAAATCTCATCTAATGCAGATAATTCAGGCTCAGGCAAACTGCTGGACAAATCGACCTGGCTTGCTTCAGCATCTGGCTTTGTCGAATCCTCTTCTGATAAATGAGCTATAAAAGTAGAATGAGTGAAAAATAAAAACCAAATAAATATAAATGTTAAGGAAAAAAATAACGAACTATACGGTGCTCCTACAAAAAACTAATCTTTAACAGACTCCAGTTGGAAAACTTATGAACCATTTGCAGAAAAAGGATAGATATGAAAGTTACTGTTGCAATAACTCATACAAGCCCCAAGGGAATAAATACAAATATATGTTTTCCCAAGCCCCAACAACAAAAATGCATCCACCTACAAGTTTAGAAAAAGACAATAGGGATGAAAATTCCAGAGATATGACAAAACAAGTACTAATAGTACTCTGATTTAAAGTATAAAATCCTATAAGAACAAAAGTTTTAATAAATGACTTTGGCATCCAAAGTTATTGCATGTACGTAACCGATCTGAGAAGTATCCACAAATCCACACTACTTTTAACGATGAGAGCAATCTCTAAAGTACTCCAAGTACTCGTGTGGCAACTTGAGATACGTAAACAATATAACCTATTCTACTATTTCTTATTGGATTTTGTGACAGTCAGCATCAAATGATATATCCAGATTCTAAATTGTTCTCAAATCTCCATGACACATAATTCATAAAGCTCAAACTTGTCCTACAGAGCCCTTAACACGATCTGCAGTTCTTCAGCCCTTCAACTACTAGATGCTGAAATCTAGAGCAAACCACAGATCTCAGAATGGCCCACTCTCTTGCAGAAGTCCAATCTATCAACCTGGATCTGGTCAGTTTGATAGCTTGTCCTAAGAAGGATCGGATGCTTGGCATTTGAGAGCAGAATTGATCCCTCACTAGGTATGCTGAGCATATGAACATCCCTGGGTTTCATAAAGTACAATATTATCCTCAAGTCAGCCATCATTGGCCATCATCTTCATCAGAGCCAAAGCAAAGAAATAACCTATGGAGCTCCTTCAGTTATTTACTTATACGATAACAACTTTCAAAAGATCTACTCGTCAAGAACACAAACATGCAGATGATACATACCATCTCCCTCATATGCTGCCACAGCATCCTCTTCCCAGGCCTTCTTGAACAAGTCATCAAACTGTACAGACAACTCACTCTGCAAAACACGACGCATCAGCACAAAGTCTAACAACAGATTTGACTTAAATAGGCAAGAGCAATGCAGGAACTGACCAATTTTTTGTCTGATCTGTTATTGAGTGAACTTTCATCATTGTAAACATTCCAGGTGCTGGGATATGCCTTGAAAGGAATGAAAAAAATGACATAAAAGAACTTCTATCAAATAAATTATAAAGATCCATGAATTTTAAAACGTTATTCTTTTTGAAGTTTCCTGATTTGATGTTACATCACGTTGGTTACCTTAAGATCACCAAGGTCCAATCCTTGCTTAAGGCTGGGAGCAACTGTCTGAGCTGGACCACCATTCAACACCTCACGTATCCATTCACTTTTAGTAACACCATCAGGAAGAATTCTATCAATATTTTGAGAGTCCTCGAAACCTCCTGGACGAAAAGGGCGGTTGTTTATGCTTCCTCTTACAAAATCTTTAGCAGGTCCAGCCACCCGTGGCAAAGGAGCGGAATCTTGAGCTTCTATTGACAATTCTGACACATCCACCTAAAACAATATAACAAACTAGTTCTCTAGGAGAAGATAACAACAGGAATATAGCAAATGATGGCATTCAAGAACCACCCCAAAGCCTTCAATTTCTCATGGCATCTTATTCTACGTAATTCATAAACACTCAAATAAATAACCATGCTAAACCAAAATTCCTATGTGAGGTTGACTGGAATTCTGTAGAAGAACACATATTTATGAACACCACATACCTGTGCTGAATTGGGTTCCCACATTCCTTCAACCAATCCCTTCCTTTTCCGTCGGAATGGCACCTCCCATGTCGGAACTACCACGGATTGTGGCAATGAAGGCTCCAGTGGCAGCTTTGCCATCTCAAACCAGTCAAAATCCCACTGCTTGCCAGCTTTTTCTGCTGAAAATTCATCAGGATCTAATCTTGGCAAGAGATATTTCTCCTCTATATGGTCCTTTATTGATTCGTGTGTTTCCCTGGGAAATGCAGGGGGCTGTGATACATTTAATTACAGTTATCGACGTTCAGCATGGCAATAACTTTAAGCAACTGATTTTAAGGTTTGATAAATGGAAAAAAAATTAAAAGAAATTGATTGATATCTAGATATCATGATTTGACACCGAATAGGTAAAATTTCGATAACAAGACTTGTACTAAAATCGCGTAAATTTTAAAGAGAGGTTAATTAACACACTTAATTTGTACTAAAATCAACCTAAAACAAGAGCAAGGAACTCTAAACCCTAGACAGCAACAGACAGAATTCAAATTAAACCGGTTAAATCAAAAGGGCGCAAAATGCAACTGTAAAAAACGGGGAGGAAGTTAATTTCGTGCATGCAATTGAAGAAATGACTTACGAGGATGTAGTCAGGGAGAGATTTCACGGGATTGGTGCGCTCCACGGAGGAGAGTGGCTCCACCCTGAGGTGGCCACTGTGACCGGAGAAGGCGGCGCGGAAAGCGAGCTCGTTTGTTGCTTGAATCCGGTCCATCGGTTATGAATTGGGTTTTGATTTTAGTTTTCGATACTGGTTTTGCTTTTTTGATGGGAAGTGAAAATGGGGTTTTTTCGCGATTTTTGAGTGTGAAGTAGGGAAAAGAAATACTTGAAAGTTTTCTAACCATGCTTCTTTTGTTCTCTCTTTTTCTGCGAGTGCTGAATTTTGGTTTAATGGCAGGTTTAGCCCCTTGTACTATTGAAGTTGTGAGATATTGAGCCTTGTACTACTATTTTGATAAATTGTAGGACGAATGTTGCCCTTTCTTACCTCCAATTGATTTTACTTTTAGGCTGGGTTTGTTTAAGGAAAAACAAGTTTCCCCCATTTTCCCATGTTTGTTTGACCATGTTAAAAAAAGTCAAAGAAACTTATTTTCCAGTCAAGGAAAATTGAAAGCCAAGTTTAAGGAAAATGACTTCCCGGATAGAAAACGGGAAAACATTTTCTCTCTAGAGCTCGTTCGTCGTCCATTCCCTTCTCACCCAATCTCACTCGTTCCATTGCTCGCCTTAAGCCGACCCAACGATGTCTTTGCCACCCAATGCCGCTGCAACGAAGCTATTGTCACCGTCGAACAAACAAAGCTTGCAAAAAACGGTTAGATCTGTTGTGATTTCTTATAATATTGTTTGATTTGTAGATTTTTGTGCGTCTTCCACTAGTTTTGCCTTGTGGGTTTTGATAAAAACCCTCTATTTTTGTGTAAGCTTTGATCCGAACTTGCAAAATAGAACGGAACGAGTGAGAAGAAGAGAGTGAGAGGGATATAAATAAAAAAGCCTTATAAATTAAGCATTGGATTGTGATGCTTGGTTCGGTTTATTCCGGAATCCCTTTTACTTGTTTGTATACGCATGGTAGTTGGGCTTGTTTTATTCAAATGAAGGCAACAATTTTGAGCTCAATAGCTATCCGAAGTAGATAATTCTAAAATTAACTACTAACAACAAGAACAGGGGATGACAACGATGATGATGATAATGACTTTGATTGCAAATGATAATAGTGTTGTTGACATGTAGTACAAGAAAAATGTGTGTCATCTTCAACATTGATTTTTAAACTCTCTCGAGTAATTTGAGCGTAAGGAAGAAATTTAACAAATCAAATATCCGCCTTGACTTCCTTCCAAGTCCAATTGGGTTCATATCCTCCAAACTCGGAGACTGCTATTGCTGCTGCTTTGTTGTGCTTTCCTTGTTATATTCATTCACATTCTCTTTCTCTCGTCTCTTTCCCGTCCTTGATGGCTCTCACCACCCCTAAAATGCTCTTATTCTTGTTGTTCTTCACGGTTGAGAGTGGGGGAAAGGTGAAATTGAAGTGATAGGTGTTCCTCAAACTATCACTTGCATTTGTTGTTTGACTCAAACTTGCACTTCGTTGCTCTCATATTTTTTCTTAACTAATTATTGCTACCACTCGATTAATACTCAATGAATTTATCTAGGATATGATATATAGTAGTAATAAAAATGATTCATTTCCTTTTATCAAATTGCAATATATATACGGTGGTTAGCTTCGTTTATAGATATCCGAAGGATGCATACCCACCACATGGATACCTTATTCGGGGATATCCACAAGGTTACCCTCCTCGAGGTATGCTCCCCGATATGGTGCTACTCCTCCTAGGCAAGAAACCGATTTTCTTGAAGGACGGTGTGAGTGTGTGTGTGTGTATTTTCTTTCCTTCTTCTCGGTGAAAGAATTCAAAGACTTAATTTTTTGTTTGTTGGCTAGTTGATTTATTTTTATTTTTTATTCTTGGAACAAAAGATTATTGCATAATTGACAAGAGTACTACCCTATTTATTATATTAAAAGGCTTGAACTGTGTAGTTGTGTAATTGAATTCGACAATTTTCTTGTTTTCAATTTGTTGTATGTGCGGCTTAGCGAGCACTCGTTTTTGTTGCCTTTTGGATGCTTGCTTCGATCGGGATCGGGAGTGTGTTGTGATAATTTGTTCATTAGTTCTTCTAGCTTAGGTTATAACATTATCTATCGGTGATAGTTAATTTCCCTTTCACTTTGAAGTCGGCTATTACGATGACATGTATTTTAATTACTTCATAACTTTGTGATCTCTTTTTTGCTACACAAACTTGTTATTTGATCAATCGGAAAACAGATTTGACGCAGCATATAGCAGATACGAGTTTGGTATATTTTTAAAGGCTTTTTTTTCTTTTTTGCCATTAAAAGGAACTCGTTGATTATTTTAACTCCTTTCAAGAAACTCTAAACAAGTAGTTGAATAATTTACTTATTTGCGTCGTTTCCTCGTAACGAAAGCGAGGCAAGCCATCAATTCTTCCATTTTATCAACTAGGAGACAAGCATGTAATCTTGGCGTAGGATCATCCTAAATAACAAAGTTTACATTTAATTTAGTACCTTCCTTGGCCAAGAAATCACCACGAGCATTCCCCTCCTTATCCACGAGCAAGGGTGAGCTTCAGTGAGTTAGTTTCACTATAAGTTAGTTTCATCATGAAGTTTCGACTCAAAGCCAATTGAATCAGCCCATTGCTCTACTTATTATGGTAGTATTGTAACCGATATGACATGAAAAGCCTTTTATACAATTTTCATAATGGTTTGAATGACACAACCAGCACAAGCGTAGGGAAGAATTTATCTAAGTATTCAAGTTTTTTTTTTAGTTTACTTCCAACAATCATAGCCTATTTTTATATTTAAATTTTTTATATCAAACAAACAACTGGAATATATTTTTCAACGGTTTTTCCATGTAATTGCCAAAAGTCGGAAAATAACTTCTTGGAAAATAACTTCTCTAGAATTGCTTTTCCTTCAAGAATTTATTTTTATTCAAACAAACATAGATTTAGGTCAGCATATCAAAGTTTGACTATCGACCAATCCTCCTAAAAAAGTTCTTTCTTATTATAAAAGTAATTACTAAAAAAACTAAAGTAAAACCATGTGTTTACTATTCATGTCACTATTTTAAATACTATTTATACATTCACAAATCACAATTCCTTTCACTATTCATGTCACTTTTGTAACACTTTGGTCCTCAATTTTTCATACATTTTTTTTTCAATTTTAAACTTTAATTGTATTGTGATTTAATCTCATTTTGTTTTCATTTTTTTAATTATTTAAAATCAACTACTTTAATTTGCCCGTTTTTTAAACTCTTTTTTTTTCAATTTCAAACTTTAATTTATTAATTATTTTTATTATTTAAAATTTACTACTTTAATTTGTCTTCTTTTTTTAAAAAAAATCTCTTTTCTTTTTCAATTTCAAACTTTAATTATATTGTAATTTGGTCCTATTTTGTTTTAGTATTTTTTTAATTATTTTTATTATTTAAAATTTAATACTTTAATTTGTCATCTTTGTTTTTTAAATTCCCATCCAATTAATTTAAAATTATATGTACTGATAGTTTTGATTTATTTTTCTATATGTATGAATTTTGAAATAAATTTTTAGAACATGATTATTTTTTCTTTTGAAAAATAGATTTAGATAATTTTTAAATTATAGTGGAATGATTAATATATATAAATTTTTTAAAATAAATTTTTAGATTAAAAATGTATTCCAAATAATTTTTTCTCAATTTTTTTGATATTATTTAAAATTTACTACGTTAATTTATCATATTTTTTTTAATTTCAAACTTTAATTATATTGTGATTTGGTCTATTTTATTTTATTTTATTTTTTGTTAATTATTTTTATTATTTAAAACTTACTACTTTAATTTGTCATTTTTTTTAAATTCTCATTCAATTAATTTAAAATTATATATATTGATAGTTTTGATTTATTTTTTTATATGTATGGATCATGGAATAAATTCTTAGAACATGATTTGTTTTTTGAAATATATATATATATATAATTTGTTTGAAATACATTTTTAGATTAAAAGTGTATTTCAAATAATTTGTTGTCAATTTTCCTATATTATCTAAAATTTACTACATTAATTTGTTTTTTTTTTTTCAATTTCAAACTTTTATTATGTTGTGATTTGATCTCATTTTGTTTTAGTATTTTTTGTTAATTATTTTTATTATTTAAAATTTAATATTTTAATTTGTTATTTTTTTTAAATTCTCATCCAATTAATTTAAAATTATATTTATTGATAGTTTTGATTTATTTTTCTATATTTATAAATTTTGGAATAAATTTTTAGAACATGATTATTTTTTCTTTGAAAAATAGATTTAGATAATTTTTAAATTATAGTGGCATGATTAATATATATAATTTATCTAAAATACATTTTTAGATTGAAATTGTATTTTAAATAATTTTTCTGGGTTTTGTTTTAGAAAAAAACTCAAACTAATTAATTAATAGTTAAAAGTAAAATGTGAAAAATAAAAAGAAAATGGTTGCTTTGCACGTGAGGCCTGTATTCAAGGACTAACCATGCATAACATAAAAATAGAAAAAAAATATTTAAGAAGGAGGAAAAAAAGAATTCACATGTTTTATTAATTTTTTTCTTTTTTATATTATCAAAATTAAATTTTTAATAATTTTTATTTTAGTCTATTAACTTCAAATTTAGCCAATAAATTCCTTGCAAGTTAATTTTTTTTATAGTATTTTTTGTTTTAGACTGAAAAGTCTGAACTCACTTAATTTAGTTATGATGTATAAAAAAATATTGAATCATTTTTTTTTTAGAAATTAACTGTGCAACTACTACTATACTAAGCATTTATTTTTATTTATTTATTTTTGAATATTTTAAAATTAACTTATTTTAAACTAAATAATTAAAATTATGTTTTAGCTTAACCACTCAATAATTCAAATTAATATAGTTTTTATTTTAATATTATTCATTCTTTTTTAAATAAATATATAAAAATTAAATTCATATTTTTTCAAAAACCGATATTCTCATTAACATTAAATAAAAAATAATTTTTTTAATTTTGTGTAGGCTTTTAATAATTTTATTTATGTTTTTTGACAAAATC